CATTTACTTATTCCATGTAGGTTTTTTTTGTGTGTACTTCATGTATGTTTTGTGTGTGTGTGTAATATATATATATATATGTATGGAGCCCTGGTGGTGCAGTGGTTCAGAGCTCATCTGCTAACCCAATGTCAGCAGTTTGAATCCACCAGCTGCTCCTTGGAAACCCTGTGGGGCAGTTCTGCTCTGTCTTGTGGGGTCAGTATGAGTTGGAATCTAATTGATGGCAACGAGTTTTTTTTTTTTTATTAAATATATGTATATCTGTATATGTATATATGAATTAAATAATTATTTCTAGTTCTGATATATGTACATTTTGTATGTGTATATTAATACATATATCCATGTTTATGTAGATGTCTGGCATTCTATATTGTAGCAACGATCCAACAGTTTTTCTTAGTAGCCTTTAGATAGCAAAAAGCAATAACTTATGAACACTTAAATCTTCTGTAAATAAGTTTAAAATCTTGTCATTTCTTCAAAAATTTTATGTGAGTAACATTTTCATAATTATAATTTAAAATTGCAGGTAAAGAAATAGGTCAAGAAGACGTTAGAAAAGAAAAGCTGGTAAAATTTGCTAGTATACTGTGTTGTGGAGGAGAAGGGAAAAAAATTCTGAATGAGAAGGATATCCTTTTGGTCAGTGAGCATGTAAAATTTTTCAATAACTATGAAAAATAAAATTTTCCAGATTCAATATAGATAAAGTATATTATCTGTATATAATCATTTGGAAATCACTGAATTATTAGAGGCTTCCTTTGATAGGGCGTTAAAAAAATTGAACTCTCAGAAATGGTGCATGTAAGAGGTATTAATTTACTCCCAAGTACTACATGTAGATTTAGTAGTTAAAATGTTGAGGTTTTCCTATATTCTGAAAATAGCTTTAATTTTGATGTTGCATTGTCCATATCATTTAATATGTGCCTTCTCTAATGCCCATTGCTTTATGCCTGATTATTTCATCAATTTTGCATCTTTTTCTGAGGTACTCCCTTGTATTTAACTATTTAAGTAATCTTCTTAAGACTTCCTTTTTTTATTTGGCCCCTATCCTTGAGCATGGAGCCCTGGTGGTACAGTGGTTAAGAGCTCAGGCTGCTAACCAAAAGGTCAGCTGTTCAAATCCACCAGCTGCTTCTTGGAAACCCTATGGGGCAGTTCTCCTCTGTCCTGTGGGGTCACTAGAAGTTGGCATTGACGCAGCAGGTTTTGGTTTATCCTTGAGCATACAGTGTTTAGACTTTTCAGCCTTGATAGAAGGCTTCAACCTTGACTGAAAGCATGCTTCTGTCAGTTTCATCCATTTCAGAAATCACCGTGCTCATTCCCTTTACAGGCCCTCCACATTCATCCACCAGAGTCCAGTTTCTAGTCTGGCCTCAAGGCCATTTTGTTTGCCAGTGTGTATTTTTTACCTCCTTTAAAACACATCGCACATCTCACGTCATTATTTATGCTTTGGTTTATACTTTATCAGTTTGATGCTTACTTGTTGAATGAGTATTTGTCCTCAGTAAGATTACAGGCAAGGGCAGTATTTTCTAAATCTTCTATGTCTTTCCAAAGTGCCTAGTTTATGTTAAGACTTCAGGTTAAGTCATGCCAGGAAATAAGTGAACAGTGTGTATTTAAGTACATTTAAAAAAGATCATTCTATAATCTCCCTTGTAACTGATTCTAATAAAATACCAAATTAAAATTATTATTGATGTCTATCTTGAGTCCATAGTGTTGCAGTAAATTTACAAAAAAAAAATTACCCTTCCTATATAGTGGTAGAGAATAACTGATTTATCATTAACTTCAATTAATAATCAATCACATTGATAATCCCTGATGTAAGACAAGTAACTTTCCTCCATGTATTAACTATTTTTAAAAAGAGAAAAATAAATAAATTGTGTGCATTTTAAACTGATTTTTCAATCTATTACTAAGTATCTAAGAAAAGTATTAGTACATTCAAATCATGGAAAAGTTTTATTTTATGACAAGTGATAAAGGGGAAATCTAACATATGCCTCATCTTCTCTTGCTTTGTTTTTTTGTAGGTGCCACATTTAAACTTATGTCTGATTCTAAATTCCAGTGGTCCACGACAAAGCAGAAACAATATAATAGGTTTAACAGACTCCTTCTCCATGATGCATGACTGAGGTTTTACCAATTATCTTTCAGTCTCTAGTATTTGTACTTTGCCATTCTCCAGTTCATTAGCAATACTGGAGGACTGAGAGTTTAGTAAATTGTATATAAGCAGGAGCCACCTGTAATCAGTGGAGAAACCACATGTTTAAAGGCTGTATGAGATAGTAAACACTCTAATATTAATTGGAAATCCTGCTAGTCATTTTATGAAGTAGTTTTTAGAAGATAATAGCATCTTACTGGTTCAGACGATTGTTTTATTAGTTATTTTTAAAGTCCACACTGTAGCTAATATGATTCTTTAAGAAGTACTTTCATCTAACAGTTTTTCATGTTTTCATAAGCCGTTGCCGTGGATTTTATTTGTATTGGTGTAAAACAGGGCTTTGAACTGGTTTGTTCCAGTTTGAACCCCTGCTGAGAATTTGCATTTCCACTAGGATATACTGAATCAGAATCTACATTTCAGCAAGATCCCCAGGTGATTCCTATGTATAACTTCCTGGCAACTTGTTGGAAATGCAAATTCTCAGCAGGAACTTGTTAGAAATGTTGGAAACCCTGGTATAAAATAACTATGCCTTGTCATCCAGTTACAGTGCATTAAAGTATACTTATTATTTCTTTAAGTATAAAATCTAAGTTTGTCTTTGTTAAAACAAAATTTGTGTGTGCAGTGATTTTTTTTTGATGGCATAGTAGTGTGACAGATTTCTTTGCTTATTTTTGTACTTGGTGGTCTAAAGCCTATGATACTGGTTTTTCAACTCATTTCTGTTTTTTGATTGTCATGTTTTTGGCATACGTGTTGTGTAGTTAGTACACGGGCATAATAATGTCAGGGATGAAATTGACACGTATCAAGTATAGTGGATGAGATAAGATACCTTTTGAAATAAGCTAAGAGATTACCTGCTCTAATCATATGAGAATTTGAAAAGATCCAAATCCCAGCATATTGACTTGTGTCATGTTGTAAATCAGAAAACTTAAGTACAGTCGATTGTATTATACCTTGACTGGAGAAATTTTTTCTTGCTGGAGGTAGGTTACTGGACGTGAAAGGGAATATGCTAATGTGTCAGTGTTTATCCAGTACGGCACGAGTTTGATTGGTTTTGAGGTCCAAAGAAGAAAGAGGGATTAAATCTGATAGTCATGAATAGCAGTCATTAGGAAACATTTGCTGTGATTCATCTATTATCCTTTTCTCTGGGCTTCTTTTCTCACTGCCATCAAAACCACTTTCACCAAGATCATTAATGATCTTGTCTCTAAACCTTGTAGATGCTTATGGCCCTCCTGTACGTGACTTCTCTGCAGAATCAAACAGAGTTGACACCTTCTGCCTTCCTTTTCTCCTAATGTTTCACCTTGTTTCCTTCCAGATCTTTTTTTCCTATACATGCAATACAATTTACAAAATTGGTATTGTACCATGTATATCATTTTATATCCTGCTTACACATTGCTTTTTCATGTGAACTTTAACGGCCATTGTATGGATAGACGGTCGTTTTAAAAATCAGAAAAGATTAGAAAAAGAAATATGCTCATTTAAAAAAAAACTTACTGCTGTTATGTGTAGTTTGTTGTTAGGTGCCGTCGAGTCGGCTCTGACTCATGGCGACCCTGTATACAGCAGAACGACACACTGCCTGGTCCTGCGCCATCCTCACAATTGTTGCTGTGTTTGAGCCCAGTGTTGCAGCCACTGTGTCAATAATATAGTAAAATCATGTTTTCAAACCATATGCAAGAAATGGAGAAATTAGTAGACAAGTGTTATATAGTTTTAAAAATTTACTTATCATTGAAAGATTAATGATGGATCCAAAAAAACCTCAAACCCACTGCTGTTGAGTTGATTCCAACTCATAGTGACCCTATAGGACAGAGTAGAACTGCCCTGTAGGGTTTTCAAGGCTGTAAATCTTTACAGAAGCAGATTGCCACATCTGTGTCCCACAGAGTAGTTGGTGGGTTCAAACTGCCAACCTTTCGGTTAGCAGCCAAGTGCATACCCACTGCTCCACCAGGGCTCCTTAATAATGGGCAGTATTATTGAAATGAACAAAGAAAAGGTGACCCTAAGTCATCAGAACCTCTCTGTTTTTGTTTTCTCATTTATAAGATAATGGGGTTGTACCATGATCTCTAAAGTCTTTTCCAGCGTAACGTTCTGTGACTCGTGAATTAGTACATGCTGAGAAGTCTGCATCAAATTGTTCCCTAAGCCTTGCCGGTTTGTGCTATAATGGCCAAGATTATTATAGATTAAATTGTAGGTACAGATTAAAATAAATTTTAAGAGTGTCCTGTTGACTGTTATATTGTTTTTCATGTGATACAGTTTTTCTTCTGGTGGATCCAAATGCTTATGTTGTGAATTTATCTAATTTCTGTATTTGTTTATATGGACTTGTGACCTGTAATAACTACAGTAAATGGTTTTTATTTGAAGTGGAAGGAACCTTACCCATAGTGATTAATGATTATGAAAGCCATATTTTTAAATAAGAATGTTACTACAGAAGAATACAGAGTTGTGAAACAATATATTTAATATATTTTGTAAGTAACAGTATATTCAATTAAAGCTGCTTTATTATGGTTTGGTCTCAAATTAAAATTTCACACCTTTTCATCATTGAATTCAGCAGCTTGTGATTCTTGATCCTTACTGCTTTATGTAGATTCTGAGTTGTTTTTTTTTTTTAGTTAAAATTGCATATTAAAAAAGGCAGTTGAAAAATTGTTCCAGTGGTGCATCCATTTAGTTAAGAATCAAGTCACACATTTTATTTACTTAAACCCATCTGTACTTATTTTACCAGTAACATATTTGGTCTGCGGCCTGTGGATTATACAGACAGTGAAGATATGAAATCGCTATTGCTGCTACCAGAGAAGAATGAATCATCATCAGCTAGCCATTGCTCGGTTGTAAGTATGGATTTAGCCTTGGGACGTTTATGTCTTTCATTGAAATTGGTTATAAAAGTAACGTAATGGAAAAATTTCCAGTTTGCAGATTGCTTTCATTTGCCAAACAATTATTGAGCACTTCCTGTTAATTAGCTGCTGTAGATTCAAAGACACAATAACAACAAGTCTGTCAGCAAACATTTATTGAGCCCCTTATATATTTTAGGCAACATTCTAGCAACACAGTGTCACAGATACAGCAATTAATATGACTGATAGAACTCTTATTCTCAAGGAGCTTACATTCTAGTGAGAGATAGGAAAGAGACAAACTGTAAATATGTAAAGTAACATATGTAAAAGAATTTCAGAGAGTGATTTGAAGAGATTTTGTACAGTGTAATTGGGTGGGAATAGAAGGCTCCTGAAGGGACACCGCTTAGCTAGGGTTGTTGCGGGAGGGCCTTTAAAGACCTGATATTTGAGTCAAAACCTGAATGATGAGGGGGAGGTAGCTATGTTACTATCTGGAGGACAGGCATTCGAAGCAGAAGGAATGCCAAGTGTATAGGCCCTTCAGTGGAAGAGCTTGGCTTGTTTTAAGGTTAGAAAGAAGTTGCTATTGCTGGAGACTAGTGAGTATGTAAGAGCACTGGAAAACCATTGGAAGAATTGCAAGGGAATGATGTGATTTGATTTATGCTTTAGAAAGTTTACCCTGGCTGCTTTGTAAAAGATGACCTGTGGGATGGGGGGCAAGAGAGGAAACAAGTAGACCACCTAGGGCTGTCATTGTGACAGGAAACAGATTCCGTGATGACCTGGAATAGGGTAACAGTGGTGAGATTATGAGAAGTAACTAGTATATATTTTTGTGTTAATACGAACAAGGCTTTCTGATGGATTATTGTCTTAGGCTGGGTTCTCTAGAGAAGCAAAACCAGTATGTATAGATATATATAGAGAGAGAGATTATATCAAGGAAACAGCTCACGTGATTGTAGAGGCTAGAACGTCCCAAGTCCGCAAGTCCGGGGATCAGGGTAGAGGCCTCTCCCAAGTCACACAGCTGCAGAGGCTGGGAGCCTAAGATCGGAAGGTCGGAGAGCAGGGCTTCCACTCACAAGCTGTGCAGATTGATGAATCCCAGGTTCGGCAGATAAGCTGACAGCTGAAGTCCCAAGAACGGGAGATGAGACGACAGGTAGCAGCCGCAGGATCCAGAGAGAGCAAAAAGCCAGAACGTCTGCTTGGCTACTCACAGTATATTCAGTCATGGGAGTGATTACATTAAAACACGGAGAATCATGGCCGCCAAGTTGACACACAGTCTTAACCATCGCAATTGTATATGAGGTGTAGTGGAAGAGTAGAATAAGTATGACTAATAATGGCGTAGGTGGTGGAGCCAGTTGCTACTGCAGGGATGGAATTAATAGTTCTGTTTGCCAATTTTATACATATTAGGCATCATTTGGAGATGTTGCATATGTGGTTGGTTATATGGCCTGGAGCTTATTAGGAGGAAGGTACAAGCTAGAGATAAAAGCAGAAGGAGTTTCTATTCCTTAGGAGTCCCACAGGTTAGTGGGAAATACAGATATAAAAAACTTTTACTGTACATTATAATAAATTTAAAATAGAGGCCATAAAAATGCAGTAGAAGCATATAGAAGGGAGAAGCTGACTTCAGTAGGGATTAGGGAGAGCCTCATAGCAAAAGTGACAGAGTAGGTGATCTAAGTCTTTAAGGGTAAAAGCTTAGCAGGGAATCTAATAGAATGCTTTTGGCTGCAAATAAGAGAAAACCTTTATTAAATGCTTAAAGAATTTATTTTCTTGTGTAATAGCTAATCTCAATGTAGGATAACTCTGCATTTAGTTAATTCAGCAGTTAGTGGCTGCATCAAGGACCCAAATCCTTTCTATCTTTCTGCTTTGCCGTCCGCAGTGTGACAGCTTTGTCCTCACTAATCTCTCCTCATGGTTAGGATGATTGCCACAATTCCAAATGTGACTGTGCCCAGCTGAAAAATAGGGACGAGAGCCATTTTCAAAAACCTTCCAGTAGACTTCCCCTTACATCTTATCGGTCAGAACTGGGTCACATGATTGGTTTTGCCATCAAGTTGGGGATAGGGTCAGTCCTTGAAGGATGGGTACCTGAACAAAATCGGGATTCTTTTAGTATGGAGGAAATGAGGACTGGACTTGAGTGGACAGCCATTACCTACTGCAACCATGTATAAAGGTAGAGATGGCATTCTTAATCTAGGGAACAGCTGTTCGGCGACAAGAAGGCATAAAGGACCTTAGAAATTTGAGAAATTGTAGAGTTTGTTGGGAGAGGAGCAGAAGATACGTTAAAGAAGAATTGAGGCTAAAGGGCTGGGTTGGGATTAGATTGTGACAGGCCTTGAATTTGCTGATAAGGAGTTTGGACTTTATTTCTCTAGTTATTGGGGTACCCCCAGAGTGTTTTTAAATGGAATGAGACTGTGTAGAGGGTAGTTAAAAGTGGAAGACACCAAAGGCTAGTTAGTTAGGAGGTGGTTGTAATAAGAGTCCAGGTGAGAAATGGTGGAGACTGGAAGTACACACAGTGATAGTGATGTGCAGATGGAGGGTAAGAAAAAGGATTTTAGAGGTTAGGTGGTAGACTCATGTATCTTGTTACTAACTGCTCAGATGGAGGAACATGAGAGCAAGGAATAAGTTGATACCTGGGACCGTTCAGAGGTAACTTCTTTACTAGTAAAGGCAGTGTAGTAGTGATTCCATTGTTTAAGATGAAGAGGTAGCATAAAGTATTTACAGTTTGATGTGGTCATAGATGTTGTCATGGGCTACTTATCTTAATAGTTTGAAAATCCTTTGTCTTCTGCTCTAGACTTCAGCCTTGTAAGTGTGCCCCTAACTATAGTTTTGGTAATGAACTGGGAACAAACCTAGAAATCAGCAGTTCCATTTCCTCCTTTTGCAGCTGAGAAAACCAAGACCTGGGGAGGTTGTGATTTGCCCAGGGTTAGGTTAACCAATCATAAAAAGTTGAGTGGACTAGTTAGAACTCAAATTTGTTAAATCTTAGGTCTGTGCTCATTCAGTCTCACCATACATAGCGACTCTAAATCAATGCTTATTTTATTCATTTGAACTTGAACTCTCCTGGCAGAGCATGGCATAACTGAGTTTATCATTTGCCAGTGTTCCTTTTATTTAAAAGCTGGAAAAGGATTATTTTAAATGTTTCAAAAATAAAGATTTTTTTAATGGTATTCTTGGAGTCTGAAGATGGCAGTGCCCTTCAGAAAAGAGCAAAGTGCTTATCCTCTTTTCAGTTCTACCTCCCAGCTACCTTTGTGTTTTTATAACATTTAAGAAACTGTACTTTTTGCATGTTACAGGGACCTGGCCTGTGGTATCATTTTTTACTCTCTTAATAGTATATACTTACCTAAGGAAGAAGACTAATGAATGACATCAAGTCCTTCTGAATTGAAAGAGTAGTTTCTTTATGTGCAATACTTAAAATGGAAGGTCTGGAATCGGCCTTCTTCCACCTGCTGCCAAACTCCCATGCACTCACTTTTTTCCAGACAAATGAGCCACCTTGCTGTTTCTTGAATCCCTCAAACATGCTCACAGCTCAAGGCCTTTGTACCAGCTGTTTTCTTTATCAGGAATAAATGTAAGAAGTCAGATGCCATGTGGCATGCTTCCTTCCTTCACATCTTGCTGCAGTGGCATCTTATCCAAGAGGTCTTTGTACCATCATATATTAAATAGCCATCTCCAAGAATTCTTATCTCCCTTGCCTTACTTTACTTTTACCATAGCACTGATCATCTTGTATAATGTATTTTATTTTATTCTCTTTTTCCTCCCAGCTGGAATATAAACTCTGTGAGAGCAAACTTGACTGTTATTTACTGTAGCCTCAGCACCTAGAACAGTGTCTGGCTTAGAGTGTGTAGTCAATAAGTGTATGCTGATGCATGAATGAGGACTGCAGTCCCATTATGATATATTTTTATGCTGGAAACAAGCATAAGTGTTGGGTTGCAGAGGCTGAAATCCTTCAAATCAGTGATTGCCAAGCCATTCTGAGGAGCTGCTCTAGGGAGCGTCATGCACAAGGGAAGGAGTAATAAGTGGGTAGGGTTTGAATTTCTCTGCCCCTATTTGAATTTTTTTTTTTACATTTCAAGTAAAGGTCACTGATGCTTGGAAAGCACTACTATAAATTTGAGAAGCGAGCTTTCTGAAAGTTTGTCGTTGTTATTAGGTGCTGTTGAGTTGGTTCTGGCTCATAGCGACCCTACATACAACAGAACGAAACACTGCCCAGTCCTGCGCCATCCTCACATTGTTGCTATGTTTGAGCCCCATGTGGCAGCCACTGTGTCATTCCATCTTGTTGAAGGTCTTCCTTTTTCTCGCTGACCTTCTCTGCTTACCAAGCACGATGTCCTGCTTCAGGGGCTGATCCCTCCTGATAACATGTCCAAAGTATGTGAGACGAAGTCTCTGCATCCTTGCTTTTAAGGAGCATTCTGGCTGTATTTCTTCCAAGACAGATTTCTTTGTTCTTCTGATGGTCAATGGTATGTATATTCAGTATTCTTCACCTACACCATAATTCAGATACATCAGTTCTTCTTTGGTCTTCCAAAGAAACTTAAAAGATGCTGTGTTCGTTTTAGGACATCTTTGACTGTGATCCCTTTTGAGCAGGTTATCTTTTTTATTGTTTCCAGAATTTTTTTTAAACTATTTTTATTTGGTAAACTCATTAAGAATAACTAGTAATTTTATTTAAGAAAAAGTTCTATATAGATTAGAGTTTGTTTAATGCCAATGTACATAACACCTAACCTTTCTTTCTAGAGTAGAATGTTGAACTCTTGGATGTTTTTTTGAACTTCTTTTGAGCCTCATGATTCTGAGACCTCTGTTTATTCAAATCGAATGCTATTCCATTGCCCTCACCCCAAATCAGACATGTGGCTTTGGCAGCTGTTTGCTTTGTTTTATTATAGCATTCCTTAATTATGAGAAATTAGTCCCAGTTTCTATTCTTTTGAAATTAAAAAAAAAAACTGTGATAGGAAAATGCTTGACCCACTTTTCTGCTTTCCTTGTGTTGGTGGAAATAGTATCATAGGCTGTACTTAGAATTGTTGTTTTCACTCTTGTATTTTGTGTAGAGAACTAATTTATAGTTAAAGTGTAGTTATATAAATTGAGAAGTAATATCTTCCATTTAGAGTTATTTTTATGGCACTTGTCAGTGTAACTGACAAGGATTTTAAAAATACTGTTTTTTAGTATTATATAGTAATTGAATGATCCATTAAGGTACACTGAACTGTTTTCATGTTACAGAGTGTTTACAGAGTTTATGTTAGATATGGTTCCATCATCTTATAATTTAGTGAATAGGAAAGATACAGATACAGAAATGTGATGTAAATATGTAGCATACCCAGTAAAACCTTTGTTATTTGAATCTTGGGGGGAATAAGTAATTCAGGTAGCTGAACTTTTTAAATGCTGGAATATTATCACATAATTTTTTTGTATGGAATTCTTTCAAAAATGTCTGATATACTTCCCTAGTATACAAGTGAATGAATTATACTAGTGTCCTATACAAGTGAATGAATTGTACTACTATATTAGTATAGTATACTAGTGAGTGAATTATTGTGATTGGTCTGTTTATAGATGTTGCCTGACTCCCAGTTCAATTTTAGTTTCTAAATTTCTCTTGGCTGCTGTTATAACCAGTATCCCCTTGAATCTTTCACGTCTCATCTCTGCATTTGATGCTACCCATTGTTGCCTTCCCTTTATTTTTCTCTGTTTTGTCTCCTGTAAGTTTAAGTCTGGATATTAAAGTAAAAAATTAGTCTTTCTTAGAGCATTTCTTTCCTTCCCATGAGAGATGCATTGAGTTACTACTGTTTGTGGATCTGATCTCCTGACTTTCGAATTCTCTTGTGTGTTTTTATTATTTCTTGGTTTTGAGGGTGTAGGGTGAAAGAATCTACCTAAAGAATTTGGTCTTTGTGCCTGTTTCTGGGAGGCAGCCTTGAAACCCTTAGAATTTCCTGAGTGACTGGAATATTTTTGTTATTCATGGAGGGTACTAGACAGGCTGGCCATGGGATATCAGCCAGACTCCAGACCTCAGGGGAGTGAAGGGTGGGCTGGAGATTGAATTCAGTCTTGTGACCAGTGATTCTATCAACCATGCCTATGCCATGAAACCTCAATAAAAACTTTGGACACTGAAGCTCAGTTGAACTTTCTGGTTGATGATAGATAACAGTGCTCCCAGAGGGTAATGCATGCCTGGGGACATGGAAGCTCCCTGTTAGGGATCCTCCCAGACCTTGTCCTATGACTCACTTCTTTTGTGTCCTCTTTACTATAGTAAAACTATAATTGTAAGTATAACGCTTTCCTGAGTTCTCTAAGTCATTCTAGCAAATTATTAAACATAAGGGGATAGAGGGAACCCCTAAATTTTTAGCCAGCAGGTTAGAAGCACAGGTGTCCTGGGGACCGCTGAACTTGTACTGGTATCTTGTGGGAGTAGTAATTGTTGTTAATTGCCATCAAGTCGATTCCGACTCATGGTGACCCTGAATGTGTAGAGTAGAACTGCTTCATAGGCTTTTCAAGGCTGTGACCTCCTGGAAGCAGATCACCAGATCTTTCTTCCAAGATGCCTCTTGGTGGGTATGAACTACCAACCTTTCAACTAGTAGATGGGTGCTTAACCGTTTTTGCCGCCCAGGGCTTCCACTGAGGGAGTGGGAGGAACCCCTGAATTTGTAGTCAGTTGGGCAGAAGTGTGGTTGGCCTGGGAACCCTTAAACTTGTAGCTGGTATCTGAAATCTTGGGCAGGTTTGGCAATCTGAAGGACTGTGCCCTTTAACCCTGTGAGATCTGAACTAGCTCTGGAGGGTTAGGGTCAGAAGAAGAGCAACTGCATTACAGTTAGTGTCAGAATAGAATTGAAGTGATATTTAGAGAGGGGTAACTGCTTTGATGTTAAAAAATATGTTTTCTATCTTTGGGTCACCATTGTTCTAGAAGCCTTAAGTGTTCTAAGACTGATTTTTCTTCACTAAGATAATCTTAGTTTAAACTAAACTGACCAAGTTGAAGGTAATTCCATTGGAATAAGTTAGCAGCGTGGTGTTAGGAAATTGATAATTTGAATATTTTGGATTACTTGAAACAAAACAGAAAAAAAAGGCTTACTGGTGACTGCATGAAGACGTAAAACTCTAGAGAGATCCAAATTAGTATCAAGGAAGCAAGATGTCCTGTGTATAGAGGGCTATCACAGATAATGTTACTTACTGGGGGAAAATAAAGAAATAGAAAAATAATTCATCAATGGAAATTTTTGGAAATTACTAAATAGAATAAGCTAAGTAATGACATTCAAGCTTGTATCAAGTGAAAGTCAGTTTAATGCTTTTCTCTAGTCTTTAAATGTTTGTAACACTCTGGCTTTTCCTTTTTCATGAACAGATGAACACTGGTCAACGTAGTGATAGGCCACTTGTTCTTATAGGCAGTGGCCTTTCCTCAGAACAACAGAAAATGCTCAGTGAGCTTGCAGCAATTCTTAAGGCAAAAAAATGTGCTGAGTTTGATAGTACAGGTGAGGATTTTGACTTTTTAAGTACATAACTCCTTTTAGAGAACTCACTTTGATAATGTGTATGTGTTTTAGCTATTGGAATATGCAATAAATTTAAATTGTACAATTATAAATTACTTATAGGTTTAATGTAGTTAGGAAATTAAAAGTTTAAAGCTTTACACATGTTTTAGGACAGAATGATATGTCAGAAGAGCAAATTTATATGTTTGCTGATGACAAATAAATTATGCATTGCTGTAATTCCTTAGTTACAATTGAAAACTTAAGGAAAAAATTGTGTTTAATAATATGGCTTTAAAATTTATGGTTTATGATCTGACTTTTCATATTGGTGGCCAAGTGAGAGAATGATGCTAAATAAAAGAATTCTTGTGCTTAAGTGTAAAAATTGATGCCTTTGAAGTAAATTCAGGTATTAGTTTGTAAGATATAGTCTGACTAGTTATAAAGAGCAGGCTAATTGAAGAATCGTTTTGGTTTACATCTCTGTTTTCCTTACTGCTTTTTTTGTATTCTAGTAACTCATGTCATTGTTCCTGGTGACACAATTCAAAGTACCCTGAAATGTATGCTTGGGATTCTCAATGGATGCTGGATCCTAAAATTTGAATGTAAGTATTTGGATTTGGGAGAATTACAAAATAAATTAAGTAGGCTAATTTCATTTCTTATAGTGCATTGCTGCCAATAATTATTTAAAGAACTTAATGCTAATTTTTCTTCCCTCTGGTTGGTCAGTGTGTTTTGAAAAGCTTCATATTAATGGTATCATTTAGATGTTCTTGGTAAATGTATGCAAATATGTTCTGGTTTTAAAAGGTTTTTCCTACTATGCCAACTATTTTAATAAAGAGTAAAAGGATTTATATAGTAGACTTTTAAGCCTAAGTAATCTATATTTCTGTTATATGAGGTACCCCCCAAAAAACCAAACTGGTTGCCTTCGAGTCACTTCCATCTTATAGTGACCCTGTAGGACAGAGTAGAACTGCCCCACAAGGCATCCAAGGCTATAATCTATACGGAAACAGACTGCCACATACTTCTTGCACGGAGCAGCTGGTAGGTTCAAACTGCCAGCCTTTCGGTTAGCAGCTGAGCACTTAACTACTGCATCACCAGAGCTGCTTTATATGATATATTTAACTTCTTAATAAACACTTGTTTTAAATATACTGCAGGGTAGGTATATGAAATAGAAGTAGTTTTTCTTTCAATGGTTTTTTAAAAATTTACCTGTATAACACTCTTGCTTTCTTAGCTAATCCAGTATATTTTAGTAAATTGTTGGGATATTTAGACTGCCTTGTACTACCTGATTTGGGGTGACTACACATGCTGTTATCTAAACCGCTACTGGAAATCTTCCCCCATTACCCCCTTCTTCTCAGGAGTCAGACACCACCACCACCTTCAGAACTACCTGTCACCTTTCAAGCTCCCTAGCTTCACCTTTCCTACCATCACTTGTTTGCCTTTCTTCACCTTGGATTCACTTTTTCTAGAATTTAAAGCAAAATAAGAAAGCTCATACAGGGTTATTCTCTACTCCTCAGTAGCTAAAGGATCTACTTCTGACAGGATGGCTAAAATAGGACATTGAAGTGGCCATTTTTGTTAACTACCGTGTTTTTACACAGATAACGCACGCCTTCTGCATTTGTTTGATGGCTGTGCCCACCCCCTACGAGATATTTTCATAAGCACGCTATGCTAATTTTTTTTACAGCAATGTGTAGAAAGGGATTGTCATGGCAGCGCTTCTGAGGGTGTCTTATGGGAGGAGGGCATGGCTGTCAAACAAACGCAGAAGGCAAGTGTTATTTGCATGAAATACAGTAATTCTTTAGAAAAGAATAGTGGCTATAAAGGGGTAACGTGAGGGAGTCTTGTGATGATATAATGGAGTATCTTGATTATGGTTACATAAAGCTGCATACGTGATAAAATTTCTTGCCTTTAATCTACACACACTCACGCCCACACACAACACAAGTGCTCGTATAACTGGTGAAATCTGAATACGTCCCATAAATTGTACGAATGTCACTTTCTTGGCTTTCATATTGTGCTATAGTTGTGTGAGATGTTAACATTGGGAGAGACTGGTGGAAGGTGCACAGAACTTCCCTGTACATTTCTTTACAATCCCCTGCCAATCTATAATTACTTAAAAAAAAAAGTTGCAAAAAAAGAATAGTGGGTATTTTTAATGAAACTTGCTTTTCAAGAAGCAAATGATGGATTAGAATTAGTTTTTATAAACTTTGTTTTATGGCTTTGTGCTTTGAAGGTTTTATGGTAGAAATGCTTGATTTATCAAGATCTTAAATTATTAATTTAATCTGTAGTGTGAAGTTGATTTAGTTTCTAAAACAGTTCCTTTCCAGCAGTTGATATTCGTGTCCTGTTTAAATGCAGCTACCACTTTTTTCTTGTGAGGCTAATCCCCGCTGATAATGTTTGATCCTGCTAAGTGACTATGACTAGCAATGCCATGGCACCTCTTCTCATCAACCTCTGTTTTTTCTCCTTGTGCTTAGACCAAAGCTGCTCTTATTTATTTATAGTTTTGATTTTATTTATTTATGTTGTTGTTGTTGAGAATGTACACAGCAAAACATACACCAATTCAACAGTTTCTACGTGTACAATTCAGTGACATTAATTCTTCTAGTTGCGCATCCATTCTCACCCTCTTTTTCTGAGTTATTCCTCCTTCATTAACATAAACTCACTGCTCTGTAAGGTTCCTACCTAATATTTCGAGTTGCTGTTGTCTATTTGATCCCATATGGATAGTTGTTAAAAGAACATAATGCTCAAGACAGGCGTTTTTTTTACCAGTTAAGCTAAACTATTGTTTGGTTTTTTAAAAGACTTCATTAATCTCTGTTATTGGTCCTTCCCAGTCATTACCAGTTTCAGAAGTATGATTAGCAATTAGACTGATTGGCCATTTACGTAGAAAAAAAAGTTTTTCGCTGTGTCTCACTCACCTATTTTTGTACCTTCTTTTCCTTTTAAATCTGTGGCACATCTTACGAGCCTTGATGTTAAAATTCATTTAAAATGGTTCCGTGATTGTAGATGCTTTTGTACTGAACCTTCACTAGAAACCTTGCAAGTGGTTATAGGAAAGAAAAGATCTTCATAATAATAAGGTCTCGGTAATAAAGAAGCTATGTGAAATATTGAATGTTAAGGCATTTACCATTTAACTTTGAATCTAATTCTTGTGAATATGCTGAACTTGCACTTGGTTACATGTACAGGCTACATCATTCATTTCCATAAAATTTGCCTTCTTTAAGAAATGAACGTTTTGTCACTTTAATGGCTTGGCCATGCCATTTTTATAGAATCATTGATGGACTCAAGCTGACTTAATAGTGTGCTATTTGGTGATTCTCACAGTGGTGAATAACATACTCTCAAAGGTTCTTTTAGGATAAAGGATGGATGGAATCTCTTATTGAAGTTCATATCCCCATGTTTTCTAATACAGAGTCCCAAGAGAAATAGGTTCAAGGTTTGGAACAATTACTTTAAATAGTTATTGGGGTTTATAAAAGAAAGAAAAACCCCTCAAATAACTTCTTCCCTAATATGTATTTTTCACAGTTTTCTATGTTTTTCTCAGTGTCAGGCGTCTCAGTTTGATTTTAAAAATGTTTCAGAGCTATTCAAAAACTATCTGAAACACATCTATATTAAAGAAAGATGAGGTAGACCAAAGCTTTCAAAATTAGTTGTAAAGATTTATGAATTATTAAAAGTAGGTCTTGTGTTTGAGGATATTATTTGCTGGTAGACAAAGCCTGAACTGGGTTACCTATACAGAAACTCTAATATTAACTTTTCATACAATTTTCCAGAAAAAAGGGATTTTCAGTAGGACATTACATCTTAAATTTTTCTGTAATTGTGTAGGATAATTGACTCATTTAAACAAATTAACAATAAGAATTTGGATCCTTTGGCTCCAAAATTTTCTGTTTAAAAATCTTTTGTCTTGGTTAAAGCCTCTTTTTCCTACATTAAATATGTACAGTATCTTACATAGTTAATGGGCTGAGCCTGTGTAGATTTTGAGAACAGGCTGTAATTATACTATCATATCAGTCATTGTTTCTCACCATATTTATCTTTCAGATATTTTATAAGGTGATATTTTGTCTTACAGATATTTTATAGAAATGCAAGCTACAGATAGGAAAAGTTCCCTCTTCTAGGTCAAGTCTGTGGCTGAGATTCATTTTAGTTCTAGCTTTTGGTGCCAGTGCCTCACAGATGGCTAATAACCACCCTCCTACAAGGGTGAATTTTGGTAATTAAAGGAGTGACTAGGTTGGAGGAATAGAAGATATATAATAAATAATTTTAGCCATCTCCGAGAGAGAATATGGATAAGGTAAAATTGCATCTAAAGATGCAAAGTAGCCTTCAAAAAAATAAAACATGTTTTATTGATCTGTTCTTTTAGTATCCTGCTTTCGGAATTTCCTTTAGCCTAACCTCTTTTTTCAGTTTAATACTGCCTTCTCATTTCTTATCTCTTGTGGAAGTTTTATAAGTCCTCAGCACCTAGGGGAATTGCTGGGGTAATGTGTCAGACATTTTACTTCGGACTTGGCTCAGTGAGGTGGGGAAGGTGCAGTAGGGTGTTTTTGTTTTGTTTTGATTTCAGTTGAGCAGGGATCGATCTAAAGATTCTCTAAGAACAAAAATAAACCAGCATACTTTGATCTTCTGGTCCCACTTCTGAGAATTACCCTAAGCAAGTAATACAGAGGAAGTAAACTATTTGCAGTACTATTTCTAATAGGAAGTAGGGGAGTATGCTGAATATGAGAGGAATAAGAAAATTTTGGAAGTCTTTAAGAGACTCTCTGAAAAAATGCATATACTTAGAGGATAAATACTAAGACTAAAGTATTACGGAAAAATCAAGATTACTTAAAATTTAAAAAAAAAATCATAAAACAGTTATATCTTCACTTTCATCACACAAAGTGTGTGAATTCGTACAGCAAAGAAAGAAAACAGTGGTAGATTTGTAGGTTACCGAAGAGGCCTGCTTCTCTGTATATGGCAGTTTTAGAAACAATGTTTGCCTATAAGATCAAATTCAAGAGACAGGAAATTCTGTGGCCTTCTGGGGAGGGATAATCGTTCCCCCTTTAGACATTTAACAACAGTCCATTATGAAACTTTAGTCCAGCTTCATTGTGTTCGCTAATCATTTGTGTGTGGCTATGAATTCAAGAAAGCCTATTTTTTCTGCTTCCTCTCATTTTTATGATCCTTTTTTCCTTCTGGAAGTAAGAAAAGTGACTACGCTTAATATAAATTCACAGACATCATCAGTGGTTCATACAGCTCAAAAATGAAAATATACATCCATTGATATATATGCTTTTATGAGTTAGGAGGCAAGAGTGGTTACTCACGATTTAGAATAAAGGAACACCTTTCTGAATAGGAAAAACTTCCTTTTAAAAAAATACTGTAGCCCCAGAGTTCATAAGCTGCATTAGTATGCAGTCTGGGCTTTGTTCAGGTAGCCAGAGCTACCTTAATGACTTTGAGTTAAGAAGTACTTTGGGAA